ATATTAATTAGGCTTAATAAAATCGTCTCACGAATTACTGAGAAATTATATAATTTGTTTTATTATTACGGTAAGAACACTCCTACGTGAGATCACATGTATCACGTGATGTGATATTTCTAAACTTTACCTAGGCCTTGTTCTCTTTGCAAAATTTTTCAACCTGATGAATAGTACCACTTTCGTCTTATTTGACAAATATTGTCCAATCGTGAACTAACTAGGCTTAAAAGATTTATCTCGTGATTTCTAACTAAACTGTGTAATTAGTTTTTTTTTACATATATTTAATACTCCATATAAGCGGCTAAAAATTAATGTGATAGAGAGAAATTGAAAAAACTTAGAATTTGAATGACATCTAAACAAGGCCCTAGCCCGTTGTGGTACAGTACGTTCCTCAGCTCAGCCTGCCTGCAGGAGAGTGTGCATGGGAGTGAACGCTTCCTGCCTGCCCTTTCCTTTCCTTCGCCTCTGACAAGCAGTCAAGCGTGTGGAGTCGGAGTAGGAGGAGTTTATGGGCACCCCGACAAGGGATCCTCTGTCCGGAAATCCTCCGTACCAGCTCGGGTCAGGGATCGATCACGTGTGTCTTGCCCCCAACACCAACCATCGGTTCATGCCTCGACATCAAAGAACGCCATGCAAAAAAAAAAAATGCCCCGAGATGAGCGCATCAAAGAACGCATATCGCCTCTATACCACAGAAAGAACCTTAGGCTGTGTTTAGCTATACGAATTTGGATTTTGGGGTTACTGTAGCACATTCGTTTTTATTTAGCAAATAGTGTTCAAACATAGACTAATTAGGCTCAAAACGTTCGTCTCGCAATTTCCCACTAAACTGTGCAATTAGTTTTTCTTTTCGTCTACATTTAATGCTCCATGCACGGGCCGCAAACATTCGATGTGACAGGTACTGTACAAATTTTTAAAAATTGGGGTGGAACTAAACAAGGGTAGATAAAGTCACCACTGAACACGCACGCTCACCCTAACGGCTTGTTTGGTTGGAGTAATTGAAAGCAGAGAATGGAAGTTGAGAAATCTTTTGTTTGTTTTGTAGGAATGATAGTTTTGGCGAGGAGGAGGGGGAGTTTAGAGAGTCAACTTCTACTAATCAATTTCCTAGGGGAGGGTTGGAATTAGGTGGGAGTTGTGTTTTTAATAAAAGAAAAGTAGATCCTTACCGTCCATCATAATTTGCCTTTTAATTTCTCCCTCAAAACCCCTACATCAAACAAGTGATATGAATTCCCTGTTCAATTTCCTTTCTTATTTCTCTCCACGAACCAAACAAAGGATTGAAACTAAAAGTAAATTTCCCACCTTAATTCCCTCTATATATCAACTCCCACCGCTAATTCTTATACCTCTTTTCACGTAGTTGCCAAACACACCCTAAACAAATACACACACGCCTCCGATCCATATAAATCTAAGTTGAACCGAGATATTTTAAAATTAATCAACATATTACTCCTCAACATCATTAAATCCTGGATAAATTTTAAAATATATATATACACACCTACGTCAAATCAAAGAATTGAACTTATTCGCTATTGTAGTAACTGTATATCCTACCACGAGAAACCTATTCACCTAAGACACGCTCAGTTCACTATAGTCATAAATATTGATGTTTTATATACTACTAGGCGGAGGAAGTGATTTTTTATCTCAAGCAAATAATAGATGCTTGCAAAAGCATCATCTATGAAAGAGGCCCCAAATCTCATGCCAGGGAACATTCGATTAACAGTGGACGAAGGCAAGTTGACATTAGCATTAGGTTCCGCGACCGCGAGTCGCACAAAAGAACATTCGCGGTCCAAACTTATATAAATAATGAAAGGGAAAACTTCATAGTTTATGTCCTCTTCGTTCGACACAGTTTGCCATAATACCCTCAATTCAGATGCAACGCAACAAAACACAAAAAAAAAAATCAAAGATATACAAGGACAGAGAAAAAAAAAATTTAAGCTCTGATTTTTTTCTGTCTTAATTTTCAACAGTTTATTCATGCATCCCAAAGGAGCACATAGACCTGTTTTTGTGTTATTTTCTACTCCCTCTATCCTAAATTGTAAGTCATTCCAAAAATCTTGGAAAGTCAAACTTTTCAAGTTTGACTAAAATTATAGAGAGAAACACAAAGATTGATGACATCAAATAGGTATAATATGAAAATATAACTAATGAAGAATCTAATGATACTTACTTGGTATGATAAATATTATTATTTTGTTATATAAATTTGGTCAAACTTGAAAAACTTTGACTCTCCAAGACTCTTGGAATGACTTACAATTTGGGATGGAGGGAGTACAATTTATTTAAACGCATCCCAAAGGAGCACAAATTGTATTGTAGGGCCTCTTTGATTGAACACATCTTTGATTGTAAATGATTATGGTGGGACAGCAGAATAAAAATAGGTAAGAAATCATTACATGGTAATTCTGGTGTGGATTGAATAGGGAGTAGTGAGAAGCGGAGTTTTTTTACCTCAAAGTATGAATGGACAATTGGATTTTGTTTTCTCCCCACTAAAATATATGCGGATGTTTGTTGTTTCGCAGAGGATGAGTGATTCTCATGGAAAAACTACTCCAATAAGAACGGGTACGTACTTGTGTGGATTTTTATTGTTTGGTAGAGGAGAAATGGTTCTCACGAAGAACCTACTTCAATGAACGTGGATAAACGGCCCTATATATTTATATTTGTACCTAACATAAAAGAGCGAAAAGAATCTTTCTTCCGCCTCTCACTCTCTCCCGCGTTGTACATTTGTCATCCATGAGTCTCTCTATTCCAATCATTCCTCTGTTGTCTCATCCTTTACTCTAACCTTTTTCTCGCTTTTGTGTTTGGAGTTATAAAATATTTGTTGGTGTTGCACCTGTCCTGGCATGATTTGGCCACTCGAGCGTGTTCGCGCCGTGGTGTGCTTGCGGGCGTGTGTCTTGCCTACCATCTTTTTTTGTACTCACAACATGTATACGCAATAGCCATCTCACCCTCAGGGCCGTACCACACATCGGTGCCCGCGACCCCTTCTCCATGGAGCTAGTGTTCGCATTGGCAACCAGGTTGTAACCTTTCTGCTCCATGCTAACGATGGCCCTCTCTCCCCCACGCTGGTGGTTGAGAGGCCTCACGTTCCTCCCCTTCTACGCAACACTCCTCCATCCCTGTGTCGACCACCCAATCCTTCCCATTTCTCCTGCACTATCATTAGCGGATCCGCCTCTCTCTTTTGCCGAGGCGATAGCCGTTCCTCTCCCCTCTCGTTAAGTCAAGGTCCGCCGCCATGAGCTGATGGAGGCAGTGTTCGGCAGCCACAACAAACGACACCCAGTCAGTTTCCACGTCCTCCACGTGGAGGAAGACGATACATGTGAGGTGGCCGCGGTGTATCCACAACAAGCATGGCAAACACCTTGAAGAGTAGTCCCACACAATTGGCCCTGCGAGCTCCAGCGTTGAGCCCATCCTCCGCATCAAGTATGTGTGGCGTTGGGTCCACACCGCATGGAACAATGGACTAGACGTAGGCAACATTTTACCTCTCCTAGGTGCTATTCTTATAGAGAGCTTATCGATATCGTTATGGGTACCCTTATGTGTTTGTCACATAGATGTAGTTTTTTCATGACAGACAATGATCTTCCATGGAGTAGTGTCCACGCAGTATGAGCATCTATGAGGGTTGGACTAGTACTTATTAGAGAACTTTGAGGTGAGGAAACTATATGAGATTCCACGAAGTCAGCGAGTTCCTTCATACTGCTATATCGTTCGACGACCATTCCATTGCTGAGTGAAAATTTAATGAATATACATCATCATCATCATCATCATCGTTATTACTAAGTCTGAAGTATACTCCCTCCATCACTTTTTAACTGTCGTTTTCGCTTCCCGAGAAACAACTTTAACTAAATATACATATAATATTAATATTTATGCGTTGAATCTATTTTTATAATAAATTTATTTGGAGATACAAATGTTGCACGTATTTTTTTATAAATCCAGTCAAACTTATGAGCACGCAAATCGTGAACAGAGAAAGTATATCTTTGGAAAACGTGACAAATCTGATATCTAAATATCTAGATTGACTTGTTTATTGTAATTATTAAGGTTTGTAATAATAGATGCACGGTGCCGCGCGTGCACGTACACTCTATCTGTTAAAAAAACCTTAAGAAAGGCGATAGCTGATGGACTTTTCCCATCGAAATCCAAAGGCAAATGTCAACCACAAAAGAAGAAAAGATAAACCAGGATCCAGTGTCTCAGCGCCCCACCTTTTTGACGGCCCAAGCATCTCTTCCGCGCGAGCCCGACTCACCGCACCGCACCGGCCTCGACCCGGTCCGCATCGCACACCACACCACCCCACCGTCCGACACCGCCGCACCAAACAAAAGTTCGTGGCAAGCGCCGCGTCGCGCGCCACACCTGTCGCGTCAGCAGGGTACCCGACGCGGAGGCAGCAACTTGTCCCACACGAAACCCCTCCGCAGAAAACTTCGTGCGAAAAGCTTCGGAAAGGTCTCCCAGGCCCAGTCCGGGTTCGGCACCCAGTAAATAAAAAATACAGTTGCTAAAAAAAAAAACAGAAACCAGATAGCGGCTCCCACGCTACCACTGACATCTGGGGCCGCTGAACACGCATCCCGCTCGTCAGTGTGACGGCTACCTGAAATCCGAGTGGTTTTGCGCGGAGAGATATCTGGGAAACGATCCGCTGCGGGTGGCTGACGTGCGGGACCGGAGCAGATAACTCGAAGACAAATTCACCGCCTCAAATCTGCGCACCCGACCCCGGCGCGGGTCCCCTAATCCAAACCGCCCGTGCACGTTGGCTCCAACTGAACGGAGCCCCAGTAGCCCCCAACTGAACGGAGCCCCAGTAGCCCCCCAAAACTACTCGCCGGCGCGGCGCGGAGGCGGAGACAACTGCGAGTTCGGCGGAGGCGATGGACGAGGAGGAGGAAAGGGAGGAAGGGGAGGTGGGGGAGTACAAGCTGCAGAGGGTGGTGGGGAAGGGCTCGTTCGCCGAGGTGCACCGCGCCGCGCACCGCCGCACCGGCGCGCGCGTGGCGGTCAAGGCGATCGACCGCCGCCGCGTCGACAAGCGCGTCCACGACGGCATCCTGCAGGAGAGGGAGATCCTCAGGAGCATCGACCACCCCAACATCCTCCGCCTCCTCGACACCATCGACGTACGCTGCCGGCTGCCCCCCTTTTCCAAGTTCCAGTCGCGATCGAACTGAATAGCACGCTGCTTAGCGATTTGACACGAGTGTGTTCTGTGTTGCCGCGTGCTTTTTCGCCGCAGACGAAGAAGATGATGTACCTGGTGCTGGAGTACTGCGACGGAGGCGACCTCGATGCGTTTCTGCACAAACACGGCCGGCTGCCGGAGGCCGTAGCCAAGGACTTGATGCGGCAGCTCGGTACGGCCTTAATAGGGATTTATTATTTATTTTTGAGAAAAAAGGTTATCTGGATATGCTTTTGACGTTACCCGGTTGTTTTGGATGTGTAGCCGAAGGACTGAAGGTGCTGAGGGGGAGGAACATCGTGCACCGGGACCTCAAACCACAGGTATTATTTTAATCACTTCATTCAGTTTTCGTGGTTGGGGATACTAATGTCCATGGGAGGATCCTGCTCCTGATTTGTCGGTACTACCACATGGGATGGATGATTGTCAGTTTGTGTACAGACGGCCCTGTTCGCTTGATCTACTTCACCGGTACTTTTCAGCGAATGAACGGTGTTTTTCATGAAACAACAAATCAGCATAAGCATCAGCATAAGCCAAATTTCAGCGAAACGTTTTGTAAATAGCCACTAAAATTTAATTGAATGTGTTAGTCTCAATTAATTCCAGTTCCACCTAATGTGAAAGACCACAGACATTTACTGAAAGTACATGATTACACATTGTACTTTTCCACATGTTCATTTGTTTTGGCTAACTATGGTTGATTACTGTCTTATGTTTCTGAGATACTTGCTTCAGTACTGATCAAGATGCCAAACTTGCAGAACCTTCTCCTATCAACCAACGGTGATGACATCGTATTGAAAATTGGTGACTTTGGGTTTGCCAGGTGAGAGCAGTATGTCCCTCATTATTGCATTAATATTTATTCAAGCACAGTTTTTTTTGCCTCCTCCACTAAATGGCATGATTTCATCAGGCTATTTATCGTCGCTATCCTTTTCAATCCACAGTGATATTTGTTCATACTGACTTTTATCATCAAAATGTCTGCTTTTCTGAGTACTGTATTATCCTGAACTTGCTGTAACTGAGCAATGTGTAGTGTTTTTTTTTTTGGTGATTTTAGGTCACTGGTGCATGAAAATTTAGCTGCCACAATGTGTGGGTCGCCATATTATATGGCACCAGAAATTTGGCAAGGGAAGGACTATGATGCAAAGGTTGGCTCATTTCCTTCATTAAATTCGTAGGTTTTAAATAATTGTGTAATTGACTCTACTTGAAAAAGCTTTGCAGTCAGACTTGTGGAGTGTTGGCGTCATTCTTTTTCAGCTAGTCACAGGGAAGCTGCCATTCACCGGGAGTAATGCTTTTCAGGTTTGTTGCTCTTGTATAACAGATTCAAATGCATATGACCTAGATGGCTACATGTGCCTGCTAAAACTAGCTGTTGCCCATTCTTTTCTGAATACAGCTGCACCAAAATATCCTGGCTACCGATGATCTTAACTTCCCTTCAGAAATTGAAGCTGATTTATGTCCTGATTGCATTGATTTATGCAGAAGACTCCTGTGCCGTGATCCAAGTGGGTCTCTTGTCCACTTTATTTTTTGCTTGTGCAAAACAGGCGTGTGTTAACGATTTATTTTCTGCAGCAGTTGTAGTTGGTCATTTCTTGTTTGTTGTGACCGTCCTCGATTCTAAGTCATTGGTGTGATCAGTTCAATTAATTTTTACCAATTGGAAAATCAGGCTGAATATACATTTGGTTTTGCAGAGAAGAGAATAAGTTTTGAAGAATTCTTCAATCACAAGTTTTTGGCTACAACAAGGTCGACTCTTTACTCTGGTTCTAGTGTTGATCCATATGACATTGTTGCACCATCTACATTGCTTTTACTAAAAGAAAAATGCTGCAGTTTTAGCTTAGCAATGCCTGCTGCCCATATATGCAGCTATCCTTATATTTTTTTTTCACGAAGATGGAGGAGATCTGCATATCTTTATATTATGAAGATGAAAATAGGGGGTAAAGAGCCCCTACAAAAAACCATAACCAAAACTAGTCACCCAAAGACAGCAATGCACAAAACACACTCCAGACTCACTCACGCATAATCTTTAGAGTAAACGGAGGAGCAGACGCTTCAAAAGCTAGGGAGGGAGACCGCCAGATCATCACACAAATAAGGCTAGTCACTACCAAGCAGCAGGGCTGTCGGCTAAGTTATGCCCTTAATTGCAGCTATAGACTCCAAAGCCTCATACCTTCAATGGCTGAGGCCATGACATTTAACACATCAGGTGAAGAATGTGTGCTTACATAAATTTGAATGATAAATTCAAGTGGTGTATAGAGGAGTAAAGAAGACAAACAGTGCTCATGAACAAATCATAAGGCACATATATGCACTCATATTTTTGTTCTACTCTTGTGCCCACAGATGAATTTTACCTAAGAATTATGCTGGTGTGAGGCTGCATCATGTTTACTTAATTCTTATAAATTTTCAGTGATTTTTAGAATGTTGCATTTTGCACTTCAATAAATGAACATTGCAGCTCATATATGCAACAGTCCTGCTGGTTTTTTTCTAGATAGATTTTTCTTTATGTTTTGGAAGAGATTTTGCAACCAGCTGCCTTTCCTTGATTTTTTTCCATTTATGTTTGCAGTAGTTTTAGTTTTTATCATGCCAATATTTCCACCTGCTTTGGAGGAAGTAATGCTTTTAGTGCATTATGTACTTCTATAAATGGAGTTACTCATATGTGCCACAATCTTGCAGCCTTTTCAGATTTTTTTCTGTATGTTTAGAATAGTTTGGTTTTATCATGCTATACTTTCTTCTGTGTTGAAGCTGAGTAATTATAACATTTCAGGAAATGCGACGAATCCTGTCATGCTGTAGAATTAAGGGATAACTGCCAGACAATCACCTCTCCTGTTGCCCTAAAAATAAAGTCTGAAAGTATTGAATCTAAAAATTCGAAAGGTACATTACACTCTATCTTTGAATCATAAAGTGTAGGCATTAACTTTTTACATATGTTTTTCAGTTTTTGATTCATGGGAGTGGATTGAGCGAGAATATGTGCTTGTTCCGGTAAACTGTACTTCTATGGAAATGTCTTCACTCAACATCAACAAGTCCACAAAGGATGATACAGAAACAAGAACTGCCAGCTATGATAGGTCTACTGGCAAAGGGTCTGTTCAGAATCAAATCAGAGACTTTACTGCCACAGCTACTGGTGTACATAGCCATGGATGTGCTCCTGTGCTCATTTCCCAGGAGTCAGCCACTGTGGATTGTAGACGAGGGAAGCCACCTGATTATATTACAAGGCTTCATTCTCTGAATCAATATGTTCTTGTTCTTACGGAACTTGCTCGGGAAAAGGTACTACTACTGCTATGCTGGCAACTATCACTGTGGCCCTAAACTTGATGTTCATTATCATTCTGTCTTAGTGTGCTTTTACAGTTCAGTATTGGTCAGGCTTAGACTTCACAATGTGCTTTTTATGTAATGTCAAAGTTGCAGCCTTCAAAATATATTATCTTAATATTCTGTGGCAAAAAATATCTTTCTGAACAAGCCAATGGTATTTTCAGTAGAACTCTTCTCCTTTAATATATATATCAGACAGATATTTGATTTTTCAATGTTAGTCATTTCCAAATTTCAACACTACTATACCCCACAAAACCTCTTTTGAATAATTGTAGAAATGATATTTGTCATTTGATGGATCAGATATGATAACCCCTATTTTCTGTGTCACTCAGCTTTCTAAAGGCCTGTACCTGGAGGCGTTATCAATTGAACTTGTATTATTAGCTATCTGGAAAGAGGCACTTGATGCATGTAGCTTACTCATGGATGCATCAGATGGTGAAAATTTCTCTAAATCTTCTCAAGAACATTCCCTTCCTAAGAGTGGCCACTCAGCTCTGAATGTAGTGCGAGGGTTGGATTTCACTAGGCCGGCTTCTGTTTTTTCCTGGGTTGAAAGTGGGTTCATGAAGGCATATGATCGCGCAGAGAAGATATCACATGTATTGAGGAAGAGTGATGGTTAGGAACGCTGATCTTCTTAACACTTTTTTGTATTGATTCTTGATTCTAACCAACATTTTTTTCCAGATAACACCGAGATGCCAGATGCAATGGATGTCGTATTCCAAACTGCTTTGGAATATGGAAAGAGTGGAGCTGTAAGTTCACTATATGGTTTCTTTGATGGTTTCCGTGGAAACATTTAGCTCTTTATTTATGCACACTATGGATATGGTTGCTGCCTTTGTTTTCCCATATAATTAAAGAAAAAAAGGAAAGGGAGTTTTTTGTTTTAATATTACCATGAATAGTGCACTAACAACAAGCAAACACATCCGTGACATGCCCAAACTTGATCCATAGTGTGCATAAACTGTGTGATTCCCTACTACCTGTAAACAATTTGCTTTCACTTTTCAACATCTTCAGTAGAATCTGTTAGATATAGATGGAATAGTAGATACCCCTAGTCGGGAAGTATTGCACTTCTATTATTCAAATTATGCGAACATTGCTGTGGGTTTACAGGCTGAATGTATTTATCCAGTAATTGGCTACAGCTGATACTTCCAATTGACTTTTTATTTACTTATCTTTTCAGGCAAATGAAGTTCTGGGACACCAAAGCAGATCCACAGCGCTATACTCAAAGTCTATCATCTTGCTCACATTTTTAGTGCAGGAAGCACCTATGTTGCCACTAAATCCACCGCTGTCCCTTTCACCGTCGGATCAGCAACGCATCCATAGGTACATAGCTAATTTGAAGAGCCATCTCTGCAGTGCTCAGGTTGCAGGGCAACAACAGAGATCAGTTCATAACTGAACATGCTTGCTCAAGGATTGAAAGATTAATTTATCTGCATCTGGTGAGGCTTTATTGTGCTCTGGTGCAACGTTAGTCCACCATGTTGTTTTTGTCTAGGAGGTGGTATTCAATGCTTTGGTGTCATGAACCTTTGTAAAATTGTAGTTGCCGAACACCATGATACTCCCCACTCTTTTGTGTAATAGATAACACCTACAAGTAACAAGCTCTATATGGTTGTTCCTTACCATATGCCTCTGAACTTGTATATATTTGTAAGTGCCTTGTGCAAACATGTAAATAGAAACTGGTTCGAACCTTTTCGTGACTGCATACTCTCCGATCCTTTCTAGTACCAAGTTTTGAAGCTCTGAAGCAATATCTGTTCTGAGGTAGTATGATGTATGGGAAGTTCCCATTTACTATCATTAAGCCGGCGAGCTTTGGCCGCCTCTCACAGCATCCACGTCGCCCCGATTGTTCCTGACCGTCGGATCTTCAACCCAACGGCACAGATCGCTTGGAGCCGACTCTGGTTCGGAGCAGCTTCTCGGCGCTCTTCCTGGTTTCTTCTGCTTTTCGTCGCTTGTCTACGGCTTCTCCTGCTTCTTGTCCGAATCCAGACAAACAAATATGGCAATGTATCAAGTGCAAACCAACCTCTCCGTGCAAACCGTGCAAACCAACTGCGGGGGAGAGGTGGGAGGGGAATTTGCAAAAGTGTAATTAGGAGCGGGCGTAATTACACTTTTGCAAATCTCCCCTCCTACCTCTCCTCCGCAGTTGGTTTGCACGATTTGCACGAAGAGGTTGATTTACACTAGATATGTTCCCAACAAATATATACTCAGCTTCCGCTTCTTCTTCCATATTATTCTTCAACCCCCCTCCTCTCTCTCTCTCCCCGTCGGCCTCTCCCTCTCCATCCCGACACGGACACGGCGATGGCGGCGCGGGCGGCCGCCTTCCTTGTCCTCCTCCTCCGCCCTCCCTCACCTACCTCTCGCCTCCGTTTCTCCCTCCCCTTCCTCTCTTTCTCCCCTTCCCTCCCGAGGCGGCGGTGGGCGCGACCCGGCGGCAGCCGCCAGGCGATGGAGCCCCCTGCGGGCGGTGCGCCGGCGCGGGTGGGGCTCGGCGGCCGCTCTCTCTCTCCCCCATCCTCTGTGCGGCCTCCTCGACGCCACCTCTAGCTGGGGACCTTGTGCTCCTCGGCTCAAGAAACACTAGGTACCTGTGCGGCGGCGGCGGCGAACCTCGGCGGCTGGATCTCACTGTGACTCATCCTTTTCTTCTCCTCCTTCGTCCCATGAGCTCCTCCCCAGATCCCCTCTTCCTCGTATTTTTTTGGATCAGTAGATCCTCACAACAATTTCTATGGCAGTTGAGAGCTGCAGTCTCTAATGCTTTTCCTAATTTGTATTTGTATAGATATATTGCAGGGACACATACAGGCTATGTTCCTACCGGTCTACATCTTACTGATTTTGTTCCCTTTACTATTGTATTTTCTATTACCCATTACACATTGGTTGGAATGCATCACGTTGACTATAACACGATGAATTTGCTATGAAAAAGACGGTTGCTGCTACCTGCTTTACGACTCTGATGCCAGGGCTTATTGCTGACAAATAAGTATAAAAAGAGGACTACCATTATTTATTCTTTGTCATCTCCTTGGATTGAATTGTGTTTATTGATTGAAAGAGCAGCAAGGTCAGTGTTTTTAATGCCGTTTTTTTCCCTTGCGTGATTTATGCTGGTGATTAGTTAGTGCATATCTACAACCCTTGAACAATTTGCTTACAAAAGACTGTTGCTGGTACCTGGTTTACGGCTCTTATGCGAGGCCTTCTTTAGGTTTATAATTCCTATGTGACTATACAGAAAAACCATTAATACTCAGGGTTGATGGTCAGTGTGAAAAAAAAATATCTACAATATTGCTCATGTAGTGTCAAGACCTCAAATAATTCATTACATTTGCTTCTATGTTTATGCTAGGAAACGTCATCCTGTTGTACAATCAGGTACCTAATTGTACAATCCAAAACTATTTGAAATATCTACGAATTAATCTCTTTTTAAATCTTTTGGCCACTGCAGTGCAGTAATCCTAATCTATAGGCTATAGCTACATGATTTCCGTTGCTCTGCAGCTCCTTGGCAATTGGTTGCAATGCATCGCGTTGACTATACCACCTGGATTAGGACTCTGCTGTCAAGCCTTCTTCCTGATAAATAAAAAAAAGGAATAGCATTATTCGAAAGAGCAGCAAGGTCAGTGCTTTTTTATGGTTTTTTTTTCATGTGTAATTTTTGCCGCCTATTAGTTAGTGCACAGATTTTAATCTCTATCTGGACTGATGGACTACATTTTCTTTGTTACCAATCCATGGCGACCTTGCTCAGGACATATTTACTTGAGCATAGCAGTTCCATATGTTTAGGTGCTTACATATCCCCACGTCGTACTTTAGCAGCTTTATAGGCACATGTGGAAGGAACTGATGTAGCTATTTGTGTTTTATGCCTGCGACATCAGGTTGTGCTTAGGGATGAAATATATCTTGCAGATAGTATTTGAGAATGGACTGATGTAGCTATTTGTTGGCGACTGTTGTTCTGATTTTGGTTCTATTTTTTTGGTGCCCTAACATGCGGCGACGGAGCACAGCCCGTCCATCATCGTACATTTTCATCCTACTCTTCTTTTTTAGTTATACATTTATTATACCTGCTCAGTTTTGGTGTAGTGATTTTTCCCTCTTGCTTGCCTGCAGTGACGGCATTATATTGAGTGCTTATTTGGCCACCAGTTGTGGTCCATAACTAATTTCCTACTCTGCTATCTGGGTAAGGTCTTTGCTCCCTTCTGTTCTTAGCTCTCATTTTATATCGTGTATTCCTCTTATGTTTCATACTGTCAGCTCATAATGAATGGTTATGTTTCTGGCCTGCTTTTTATATATTTATTCTGGCTGTTTTCTTTACTGCAACCTAAATTCTTTTCCAAATTCTTATGCAGTGTCTTAGGTACTATCTTGTGCAGATTTCGTGCCCCACATATCTCCTCCTTCCCTTGCCTCTTCAGCTCGGCTCACGATGCTTATGTTTTAGATTCTCCTGCAGTCACTAACATGTTTTTTACCTGCGTCTTAGTCAAGTGATTTGTCGGCGCGCGCGAGGCCGCCGTCCAAGGTAAACACTACGCTTATGCGTTCGTCTCTCCTACCACTCGCTCCATATATGTATGTGGACATAGGGATCATAGGATCATCTTTCTCCATTGAAAATCACCCCCCTCTTTCCAGATTTATCAGGTCTTGTTCTATTTCGTTTTATTTAGTTGACTGCCTCCACTAAATTAATCTATTGCTCATTTGTTTATCACTTATTCATGTGTCGCTTACACCGATGGATCACTGAGAAGTAGGATATCGGCTATTGCAATCCTTTCCTGCTGCCTCTCATTCTCATGCCGCTATATGATGATTTACATAGAGTCCACGTCTTTCGACAGCCTTGCTACAGCAGTATCGTTTGTGGTTTTAAATGGTTTCAGAAAACATGCTGTTGTACAGGTGACTGAATAACTGCCCTACAAGTCGTCAATGAGTTTCCCTTTTTTTTTGGCCGCGGCACCACCGTGCTGGTTTTCTTATGAAATGGACATGGACATGCCTTTCATGTCAAATGGTTCATCCACATGCTACAAGGGGCTAGTGGGTTTCTCTTTATTTTTTTGGCCGTGCCATGCTAATGTTGAAGGTGCTCACTGCTCGTATTCCAACTATATTTGTATTTTGATACCTTTCCTGCTACGGTGGTTTGATTATCTTATTTCTCTGTTACTTCCAATGTTCTAGGCAAAACATCACTTCAGGGATGCACTCCATGCAAATCTGAGCTCCCTGAACCTGTTGTTCTGCGGAGCAGGTACATGTCAGTTTCATCGAATGTTTTCCATAATACATATGTATCATTGTGCTTTCTGTGGCATCGTTCTATCTATAAAATGCTGCTTAAATACACAACACGACAAACACTGTCCATGTGTGTATAAGTCGTGGAAATCTGATATGACTTTTTTATTAGATGTGTCCTGCACCATATAAAAAAAACTCTAATCTTTCCGTTTCTGTACATGACGTATCTACATTAAACTCCTAATATTGCTTCCATACAAAGATTAAACATGTTCTGTACTTACGCCTTAACCAGCTGATTTACCGGCGCGCGCGATGGCACGCGTAATGAACTAGTTTTACATTACTCCACAGGGGTCATCTGAAAGCACGGTCGACTACACCTTCATTCAGGATTCTTGCGTATAAAGATTAGTTGGACCCATACCACCAGAAATTGGAAGCTGTCGGATAATCTACAACTGAGTACTCTTTGCAAAGTTTCCTTTTTGTTGTGTTAAAGACGTAAGTATATTAATATAAAGTTTATTTATGTAATAAAGCATTGTTTCTAACATTTTTCTTTTTTGTCTATATGGACATCTTAGGCACATATATGGTAAACTGTGTGACAGAAACTAATTGATTGGTTTGTGCAACGGGTGAAGTTATTTTAGTCCGGATCGCTATCGTTGTGTGTGTTATTATGGTGGGCCAAGTGTACCAGAGGAGGCAACGCACCACCAGTGGCTAGAATGCGGCTTCAGTTGGTTAGATCAGCTTTAGCTTGTTAGATCATAGGAACTTTGCGTGGAGTTTGTTGGAAGTTTGTTAGCTACATGTTTAGTTTGTTATTCCTAAATTAGTGGCATGCTTGTAATTCGCCTATAAGGCAGACCATTTGTTTAATGAAGAGTTAACCTGGGATTGAGACACTCCGTCTCCCTTAGGTGCCCAGCACTGTTCACCATCTCCTCCTTGCTGCCCAGAATTCAGGCGCCGGCCACGGTGCCGCCTGTTCGCCGCCAAGGACTCAAGCCACGGCCAGCAACCGTCCACTCTTAGCCCCTACGCAGCTTAAGCCGTAACAATCTGGTAGCAGACTTCATG